CCAGGATCGAGTCCTACATTGGGCTTCCTGCATGGAGCCTGCTTCTCTCTCTGTGTGTTTCTCTCATGAATAAATAAATAAAATCTTAAAAAAAAAAAAAAAAACTGGGGCATGGATGAATACAGAGCTCTGAGGTCTGTTTCTTTAAATCTTTTAATCTACAACTCCCGTTTTAACTCCTTGATAAAGATAACTACATACTTAGTCTGATTCGTGGAGAGGAAGGGAAACGAGCAGTATTAGACCAAAACACTCCTGCTAAAAGGTTACGAAAGGGCTTCTGAGTGGCTCAGCTGGTTAGGCGCCTGCCCCGGGTCCTGGGATACGGCCCTATCAGCAGGGAGCCTGTATCTCCCTCCCCCTCTGCCTGCCACTCCCCTGCTTGTGCATTCTCTAATAAATAAATAAAAATCTTAATTAAAAAAAAAAAAAGCTTAGGAAAGTAATCTTGCTCCTCCTGCGTAAATATTGATTTGGTGAGAGGTCAGCCCAGCTATGCATGTGCCTGAGCCGCGCGTCTGAGGCCTGAGCCTAGTCTGAGGCCTGAGCCGTAGTCTGAGGCCTGAGCCGCACGACTGAGGCCTGAGCCTAGTCTGAGGCCTGAGCCATAGTCTGAGGCCTGAGCCGCACGTCTGAGGCCTGAGCCGTAATCTGAGGCCTGAGCCTAGTCTGAGACCTGAGCCGTAGTCTGAGGCCTGAGCCGTAATCTGAGGCCTGAGTCGCACGTCTGAGGCCTGAGCCGTAGTCTGAGGCCTGAGCCGTAGTCTGAGGCCTGAGCCTAGTCTGAGGCCTGAGCCGCGCGTCTGAGGCCTGAGCCGTAGTCTGAGGCCTGAGTCACACGTCTGAGGCCTGAGCCGCACGTCTGAGGCCTGAGCCTAGTCTGAGGCCTGAGCCGCACGTCTGAGGCCTGAGCTGCACGTCTGAGGCCTGAGCTGCACGTCTGAGGCCTGAGCTGTGGTCTGAGGCCTGAGCCTAGTCTGAGGCCTGAGCCGCACGTCTGAGGCCTGAGCCGTAGTCTGAGGCCTGAGCCGCACGACTGAGGCCTGAGCCGCACGACTGAGGCCTGAGCCTACTCTGAGGCCTGAGCCGTAGTCTGAGGCCTGAGCCTAGTCTGAGGCCTGAGCCGTAGTCTGAGGCCTGAGCCGTAATCTGAGGCCTGAGTCGCACGTCTGAGGCCTGAGCCGTAATCTGAGGCCTGAGTCGCACGTCTGAGGCCTGAGCCGTAGTCTGAGGCCTGAGCCGTAGTCTGAGGCCTGAGCCTAGTCTGAGGCCTGAGCCGCGCGTCTGAGGCCTGAGCCGTAGTCTGAGGCCTGAGTCACACGTCTGAGGCCTGAGCCGCACGTCTGAGGCCTGAGCTGCACGTCTGAGGCCTGAGCCGCACGTCTGAGGCCTGAGCTGCACGTCTGAGGCCTGAGCTGCACGTCTGAGGCCTGAGCTGTGGTCTGAGGCCTGAGCCTAGTCTGAGGCCTGAGCCGCACGTCTGAGGCCTGAGCCTAGTCTGAGGCCTGAGCCGCACGTCTGAGGCCTGAGCCGCACGACTGAGGCCTGAGCCGCACGACTGAGGCCTGAGCCTACTCTGAGGCCTGAGCCGTAGTCTGAGGCCTGAGCCTAGTCTGAGGCCTGAGCCGCACGTCTGAGGCCTGAGCCGTAGTCTGAGGCCTGAGCCTAGTCTGAGGCCTGAGCCTAGTCTGAGGCCTGAGCCGCACGTCTGAGTCCTGAGCCGTAGTCTGAGGCCTGAGCCTAGTCTGAGGCCTGAGCTGCACGTCTGAGGCCTGAGCCGCACGTCTGAGGCCTGAGCCTAGTCTGAGTCCTGAGCCGCACGTCTGAGGCCTGAGCCTAGTCTGAGGCCTGAGCCGCACGTCTGAGGCCTGAGCCGCACGTCTGAGTCCTGAGCCGCACGTCTGAGGCCTGAGCCGCACGTCTGAGTCCTGAGCCTAGTCTGAGGCCTGAGCCGCACGTCTGAGGCCTGAGCCGCACGTCTGAGGCCTGAGCCGTAGTCTGAGGCCTGAGCCGCACGTCTGAGGCCTGAGCCGTAGTCTGAGGCCTGAGCCGTAGTCTGAGGCCTGAGCTGTAGTCTGAGGCCTGAGCCGCACGTCTGAGGCCTGAGCCGTAGTCTGAGGCCTGAGCCTAGTCTGAGGCCTGAGCCGCACGTCTGAGGCCTGAGCCGTAGTCTGAGGCCTGAGCCGTAGTCTGAGGCCTGAGCCTAGTCTGAGGCCTGAGCCTAGTCTGAGGCCTGAGCCGTAGTCTGAGGCCTGAGCCGCGCGTCTGAGGCCTGAGCCTAGTCTGAGGCCTGAGCCGTAGTCTGAGGCCTGAGCCGCACGACTGAGGCCTGAGCCTAGTCTGAGGCCTGAGCCGTAGTCTGAGGCCTGAGCCGCACGTCTGAGTCCTGAGCCGTAGTCTGAGGCCTGAGCCTAGTCTGAGGCCTGAGCTGCACGTCTGAGGCCTGAGCCGCACGTCTGAGGCCTGAGCCTAGTCTGAGTCCTGAGCCGCACGTCTGAGGCCTGAGCCTAGTCTGAGGCCTGAGCCGCACGTCTGAGGCCTGAGCCGCACGTCTGAGTCCTGAGCCGCACGTCTGAGGCCTGAGCCGCACGTCTGAGTCCTGAGCCTAGTCTGAGGCCTGAGCCGCACGTCTGAGGCCTGAGCCGCACGTCTGAGGCCTGAGCCGTAGTCTGAGGCCTGAGCCGCACGTCTGAGGCCTGAGCCGTAGTCTGAGGCCTGAGCCGTAGTCTGAGGCCTGAGCTGTAGTCTGAGGCCTGAGCCGCACGTCTGAGGCCTGAGCCGTAGTCTGAGGCCTGAGCCTAGTCTGAGGCCTGAGCCGCACGTCTGAGGCCTGAGCCGTAGTCTGAGGCCTGAGCCGTAGTCTGAGGCCTGAGCCTAGTCTGAGGCCTGAGCCTAGTCTGAGGCCTGAGCCGTAGTCTGAGGCCTGAGCCGCACGTCTGAGGCCTGAGCCGTAGTCTGAGGCCTGAGCCGTAGTCTGAGGCCTGAGCCGCACGTCTGAGGCCTGAGCCGTAGTCTGAGGCCTGAGCCGCACGTCTGAGGCCTGAGCCTAGTCTGAGGCCTGAGCCGCACGTCTGAGGCCTGAGCCGTAGTCTGAGGCCTGAGCCGCACGTCTGAGGCCTGAGCCTAGTCTGAGGCCTGAGCCGCACGTCTGAGGCCTGAGCTGTAGTCTGAGGCCTGAGCCGCACGTCTGAGGCCTGAGCCGTAGTCTGAGGCCTGAGCCGTAGTCTGAGGCCTGAGCCGCACGTCTGAGGCCTGAGCCGTAGTCTGAGGCCTGAGCCGTAGTCTGAGGCCTGAGCCGTAGTCTGAGGCCTGAGCCGCACGTCTGAGGCCTGAGCCGTAGTCTGAGGCCTGAGCCGTAGTCTGAGGCCTGAGCCGCACGTCTGAGGCCTGAGCCTAGTCTGAGGCCTGAGCCGCACGTCTGAGGCCTGAGCCGTAGTCTGAGGCCTGAGCCGTAGTCTGAGGCCTGAGCCGCACGTCTGAGGCCTGAGCCTAGTCTGAGGCCTGAGCCGCACGTCTGAGGCCTGAGCCGTAGTCTGAGGCCTGAGTCGCACGTCTGAGGCCTGAGCCGTAGTCTGAGGCCTGAGCCGTAGTCTGAGGCCTGAGCCGTAGTCTGAGGCCTGAGCCGCACGTCTGAGGCCTGAGCCGTAGTCTGAGGCCTGAGCCGTAGTCTGAGGCCTGAGCCGTAGTCTGAGGCCTGAGCCTAGTCTGAGGCCTGAGCCGTAGTCTGAGGCCTGAGCCTAGTCTGAGGCCTGAGCCTAGTCTGAGGCCTGAGCCGTAGTCTGAGGCCTGAGCCGTAGTCTGAGGCCTGAGCTGTAGTCTGAGGCCTGAGCCGCACGTCTGAGGCCTGAGCCTAGTCTGAGGCCTGAGCCGCACGTCTGAGGCCTGAGCCGTAATCTGAGGCCTGAGTCGCACGTCTGAGGCCTGAGCCGCACGTCTGAGGCCTGAGCCGTAGTCTGAGGCCTGAGCCGTAGTCTGAGGCCTGAGCCGTAGTCTGAGGCCTGAGCCTAGTCTGAGGCCTGAGCCGTAGTCTGAGGCCTGAGCCTAGTCTGAGGCCTGAGCCTAGTCTGAGGCCTGAGCCGTAGTCTGAGGCCTGAGCCGTAGTCTGAGGCCTGAGCCTAGTCTGAGGCCTGAGCCTAGTCTGAGGCCTGAGCCGTAGTCTGAGGCCACCTCTCAACGCTGTTCGCCAGGACCTCATCCTTGTCCACGACACCATAACGAACCTGTGGATCTCATTTAGTTTTGAAAAGATGGTGGTAGCCTTCAGAGGAACCCTTCAAAAGAAGCAACAGTAAAATTAAGATTCCTCACACAAATCGCTCACGGCTTCGCACGCGGGCACTTTTTAAAAAACGCACTGGGAGACGCCACCAGTGACTGAATCTGTATATTCCAGGCAGTTGCAAGCATGTGATTAATCAGCCTGTGTATTCGCTGAAGCATCCTGGGACCTGCGCAAACCCACCTCGCTCCCACTCTCACATAATCCTATGAAAACTCGTATCCCCCGCTTTACAAAGAGGGAAAAGTTCTCAGAGAGAAGACCAATACCAAAACGGAGATTTTGGTTTTTTTTTTTTTTTTTTTTTTAATTTTTTTTTTATTTACTTATGATAGTCACAGAGAGAGAGAGAGAGGCAGAGACGCAGGCAGAGGGAGAAGCGGGCTCCATGCACCGGGAGCCCGACGTGGGACTCGATCCCGGGTCTCCAGGATCGCGCCCCGGGCCAAAGGCAAGCGCCAAACCGCTGCGCCACCCAGGGATCCCCGTTTTTTTTTTTTTTTTAAATAAAAAAGAACATCAAAGCCAAAGCTGTAAAACCAACAAACCCAGACTAGCGCTTTTTCGAACTCTGTCAGCCAAAAGTCCGCCCGCCCGGAGAAACCTCGCGATATTCCGCGAACTACCACTCCCAACATGCACAGCGGCTCCGGCCCGCCCGCCGATCCCCTGGAGTCTGGAGGGGCCCCGGCATGCCTCGGGGCGCGAAAGGCAGCCTGGGAGCCGTAGTTCCGCTGGACGCCTACCGGTATTGCCAGCGCGGCAGTGGCGGCTCTCTCGGTTCCGTCCAGCCGGGTTCTGTAAGGCGAGCTGAGGCGGAGAAAAGGGCGCGGAACTGGAAGCGGGTGAGTCAGGCGCTGGCTACGCGATAAAGGGAGGCGGCACCGCGGCGCGGGGCCGAGTTGGGTAAGTGCGGCCCCTGCAGTCTCTTCAGGGAGAAGGCGAGGAGAGGGCGAGGAGGAGCCCGCGCCCGGTCCGTGCACCCGTTCTCGCCCTCGTACCCCGCCGCCATCTCCACCATGCAGTCCCGGGAAGAGGCTCCGCGCCCCCGCCGCCTCGCCAGCCCCCGCGGCGGCAGGCGGCCCAAGAGGATCTCCAAGCCCTCGGTCTCGGCTTTCTTCACGGGCCCGGAGGAGCTGAAGGACGCGGCTCACTCCGCAGCGCTCCTGGCGCAGCTCAAGTCCTTCTACGACGCGCGGCTGCTGTGCGACGTGACCATCGAGGTGGTGACGCCCGGCAGCGGGCCCGGCACCGGCCGCCTCTTCCCCTGCAACCGGAACGTGCTGGCGGCCGCGTGTCCCTACTTCAAGAGCATGTTCACGGGCGGCATGTACGAGAGCCACCAGGCGAACGTGACCATGCACGACGTGGACGCCGAGTCCTTCGAGGTGCTGGTCGACTACTGCTACACGGGCCGCGTGTCGCTGAGCGAGGCCAACGTGCAGCGCCTGTACGCGGCCTCCGACATGCTGCAGCTCGAGTACGTGCGGGAGGCCTGCGCCTCCTTCCTGGCCCGCCGCCTCGACCTGGCCAACTGCACCGCCATCCTCAAGTTCGCCGACGCCTTCGACCATCACAAGCTGCGATCCCAGGCCCAGTCCTTCATAGCCCACAATTTCAAGCAGCTCAGCCGGATGGGCTCAGTAAGGGAGGAGAGCCTGGCGGATCTGAGCTTGGCCCAGCTGCTGTCCATCCTGCGCCTGGATAGTCTAGACATCGAGAGCGAGCGGACCGTGTGTCACGTGGCCGTGCAGTGGCTGGAGGCGGCTCCCAAGGAGCGCGGTCCCAGCGCTGCGGAAGTGTTCAAGTGTGTCCGCTGGACACACTTCAGAGAGGAGGATCAGGATTACCTGGAGGGGCTGCTGACCAAGCCCATTGTGAAAAAGTACTGCCTGGACCTTATCGAGGGGGCCCTGCAGATGCGCTATGGTGACAAGCTGTGCAAGGCTCTGGCGCCCAAGCCAGACAGCAGCAGCAGCTGTGTTGTGCCCACAGCAGAAAACCCACCCCAGAGGCTGGGTATGTGTGCCAAGGAGATGGTGATCTTCTTTGGACATCCCCGAGATCCCTTTCTGTGCTACGACCCATACTCAGGGGACATCTACACCATGCCATCCCCTTTAACCAGCTTGGCTCACACCAAGACTGTCACTTCCTCAGCTGTCTGCGTCTCTCCAGACCACGACATCTACCTGGCCGCGCAGCCCAGGAAGGACCTCTGGGTGTACAAGCCAGCCCAGAATAGTTGGCAGCAGCTGGCCGACCGCCTGCTGTGCCGGGAGGGCATGGATGTGGCCTATCTCAATGGCTACATCTACATTTTGGGTGGGCGAGACCCCATTACCGGTGTTAAACTGAAGGAAGTGGAGTGCTACAGTGTCCAGAGAAACCAGTGGGCACTGGTGGCTCCTGTGCCCCATTCCTTCTATTCGTTTGAACTAATAGTGGTTCAGAACTATCTTTATGCTGTGAACAGTAAGCGCATGCTCTACTATGACCCGGGCCACAATACGTGGCTGAACTGTGCTTCTCTTAAACGTAGTGACTTTCAGGAAGCCTGTGTCTTCAATGATGAGATCTACTGTATCTGCGACATCCCGGTCATGAAGGTCTACAACCCAGCCAGGGGAGAATGGAGGCGGATTAGTAATATCCCCTTGGACTCAGAGACCCACAACTACCAGATTGTCAATCATGGCCAAAAGTTGCTCCTCATTACTTCTACCACCCCTCAGTGGAAAAAAAACCGGGTGACTGTTTATGAATACGATACTAGGGAAGACCAGTGGATTAATATAGGTACCATGTTAGGTCTTTTGCAGTTTGACTCTGGCTTTATTTGCCTCTGTGCTCGTGTTTATCCTTCCTGCCTCGAACCTGGACAGAGTTTTATCACTGAGGAAGATGATGCACGGAGTGAGTCTAGTACTGAATGGGACTTAGATGGATTCAGTGAGCTGGACTCGGAGTCAGGAAGTTCAAGTTCTTTTTCCGATGATGAAGTCTGGGTGCAGGTGGCACCTCAGGGAAATGCACAGGATCATCAGGGTTCTTTGTAAATATTTTGAAGCACTAAGATGTTTCTACTTCTATGGAATGTATCTTTAAAAGATATCCTTTCCTTTTCCTGAAAAAAAAAAAATGTTGATTAGGACTGCAGATTTGGTTTAGAAAGGGTAACATTTCAATTACTAATATAATGTTACAAAGTTAAACAGTCCATGAAATCAACCTATATGATAATTTACTGTGCTAAAAGTCAAGATTAAAATATGCAAAAACAAACTATGTAACTGATTAGAATGCTTGGTGGTTTTTTCGTTATTTTTTGCACCAGTGGATTGTTTTGGTTAGTTTACACTGTTTATATTTTGATTATCTACATTAGTCTTCTGTTAACGTTTTAATTCAACTTAGTGCCACAAGGAATTTAACTTTTTAATTTTTATAGTAGAAAATTGGACTAGAAATTGTTGGTAAGGTTTTGAAGGTTGTATTTTCTTTTAGAATAATGAAAGTAGTAGATTTCCCAAATTTTGAACTAGCCAGTTTCTAGTATTATAAGTTACTATCGTTTCTATCGTTTGTTAAATTTGGTGTGGTTTTCTCCCCTTCTGCAAAGAAAAAAAAAATTGGTTATATATATATAAATATATATATCCATCCAAATAGGGATTTCATTTTGATAATGTGCAGAATGGTCTTAAGAGCTCACAGAAAGTAAAAAAAAAAAAAAAAAAAAAAAAATCAAGACTCCACTGCTTTAAAAGAAATTTCACTTTCAATTTTGGAATATAACATGTATTTCTTGAGTGTGGCCATTTTTCTGTCTTAAAAAACATTCATTCTAGTAGTGTCACCAATTATTTAAACACCGTTCTAAACCAAAAGAAAAAAGGTAACTTGCTTTGCAAGATCATATTTTTCATCTATACCTGATACACGCTTCATTGAATCAAAAGGAACGATCCTTTTTTTCACTGGACATGTGATTGAGTAATGTAAATGTTTATCCATTGGTCATGACTAGTCTTAAACAGTGTATATGCTTTCCTAAAATATTTTTGGCTCTATAGTTTCGGTTTTCATCTTAGAGGATTCTTCAGCAGGAAGTGATATATTCTTTACTGCTTTTGTGAGGTAATACTGGTTTTGAAAATATGTTTAAGCTAAAAAGAGTATTTTATTGAGGTCAGTCACTGTGTCCATCAACTATAAAATTAAATGCCAGCAGAGACCTTTAAAACTTCAGGCTGTGTATGGAACTGTTTTGTGTAGCGTTGAAATGTTTTGTTGAGTTTTGTAAGTCACTGTATATGATTATCATCCCGAAGGTATTTTTGTATTAAAAGTTGACATCTAAAGAACATAACTGGATGATGCCATTTGGGGCCAATAGGGAAAGTTTATTTCCTGTAAAATATTTCCCTAGCAATGGTATACATGGTTATTTTATTAGGGTATTTGTATCTGTTCTGTATTTCTCTGTGAACCATGCTCCGGCCTTTGTGGGTTTTTGTTTTTGTTTTTGTTTGTCTTTTTGTTTGTTTTTGTGTCACTATAAAGTAAGGGAAAGTCCAGAACTAGAGACTGAGTTACACAAAACTGATACCGTTAAATACTGAGAAACAGAGATGCTTACCTTTTTAAGGGTCTGTTAATACATATGATTGTCACAAAACACATCCATGATAAATGGTGTACATATATACATATATAGATAGATACTTACAGGTTATAAATTTTTCTATACTGACTTAGAATCCTCATTTTGCATCTTTGTTCAAAACGTTAATTCCTCTTACATACGTCTATTCTCTAGTGACCGAACACTAACACTAACATTTCTTATACCACGTCAGAGTACTGAGGACTGTGCCCCAGGATCGGGAACTGAATCTTGAATTTAAAAAAGAGAAAATAAATAAATAAACAAGCAAACAAACAAACAATGAAAAAAACAAGTACACAGATGCTGTCATAGCCATTTGATTGGGCATCTGAAGACTCCATTAGACATTCCCGTTTAACATTATTTCTAGTGAAATAAGATTCTTACTCTAGCCATGTGTTCTTAAGAATGTGTTCCCTCAAAACAGCAAACATGCTTTAGTAGCCATAAGACTAACTTTTGTTCCATTCGGTATCAGGGATGTTATAAGCACTGGTCTCAACTTAGAAAGCTGTTTCTTGATAGTGTTATATTTTTGGCCACCTTTTCTTCACCAATAACTTCTTGTTGATAAGTTTTTTGTATTGTAAGGTTGAAATAGGATAGTGCTGACCTCAACCAGATTATCCATCTGCAGAATTAAGGTATGCAACTGATTGACAAAAGACAGATTCTGCAGTTTGTCATTTTCATCCTTTAAGTATAAGCTAATTAACAGTAATGTGGTTTACAAAGAAGTTTCTTGAGGAAGAATTTGGTTTCATGACATATTTGTGAATTAGGGAATAGATGTTAACTATTATTTTATAGAGAAGTGATTTGTATATGGTTAGTTACAAATAAAAATGGCACTAGAACCCAGGCCTTCTGACCTCTTAATTTAGCATTTCTGCTAAATGCATAAAACCCTTGCTTGTGCAGTGAGTGACAAAACTGGCAGTGTTGAAATCCCTTCTTGACAGGAAAGCAGCTTTGTCTCAGTTTTACAATTAGTTGACACACCTTTTAGCAAATGCTCAATATAATATTGTTTGTAGGACTATTTTTTTTAAGATTTATTTTTTTTAATTTTTTTTTAAGATTTTATTTATTTATTCATAGAGACACAGAGAGAGAGAGAGAGGCACAGGGAGAAGCAGGCTCCATGCAGGGAGCCCGATGTGGGACTCGATCCTGAAACTCCAGGATCACGCCCTGGGCCAAAGGCAGGTGCTAAACCGCTGAGCCAACCAGGAATCACCTGTAGAATTATTCTTTGTAAGATCTAGAAAGATCTTAACTGGGTTTGTTTTGTTGTTGTTTTTTGGGTTTTGTTTTTTGTGTCTTTATGCCTGTAATCTGAAAAGCTCAGAGAACCCAAATTATTTTAAATACTTATGCAATTCAAATGATAAGTGTCATTGGCATTTTCAGAAGGATAAAAGACTAATTTAGCAAGCAACTTACTTAATTTGGGTTTAGGATTAAATTTAAATTATGCTTCCCTTCTGTAGTTGCAATGTTTTTTTCTGTTTTGTACCTGGCTCTCTTTGAGAATCTGATGAAAGCTTTTGACTCATTCCCCAGAAAAATGTATATGTTCATGTTTTCATAATTTCAAGGGTGTTGTGACACTTCTGAAGTTCTTCCACACACCCAGGATAAGAGCATTTGTGACAGTCCCAAGAACACTTCTACAAAAAGGAATTCACATTTTTTCGCAAGGCATATTGCTCAAATGTTTGTAAGGGGAAGAGCATTATTATGTCATTCCTAAAATAGAGCTAAAGACATAATATATATTTACCATCTGAAAGGGATGTGAATATTAATGGGTACCTCAGAGACAAAGTTGACATTTCTGCAGTTCAAGTTTCTCCGTGATGATTAACACAAGAAGTAACTAAATGTGATTTGAAGAAATTAATAAAAAAGTTTAATCAAATGGGCTAATCTGTTTGAAAGCTTTGAAACTTGAGGAGTTATGCGTATATGTTATGCATATGATGACTGTCTAGGAAGACTATAATGAGAATTCAAAGCAAAATATAGGTTCCAGATGTTTCAAACTGCCAACATTGCAGTTGTTTATTAGACATATATACACCTAAGTAGCAAGAGTTTTTTATCTTATAATGACCAGGTTAACAGGTGGTTGGAAAAGGGCATTTAACCAATAAGGAACCTATTTAAAATATAATCAATTTGCTACTCACTGCTCATTAAACTAGGAACCAGTGCTTTGCCTGCCATCATTTTTGTCAATTTGTGCTGAGATAAGGAAAATATATGAAATATGACAAATGAGTCATAAACTAAAATTATTTAATTGAATTTGTCTTGATGTTCGTAAGTTGGAAATATAAGAAGTTTGCAGCTCTATATCAGTCCACTAAACTTTAAAAGAAAGTTGGTCTTTGAAATCCCAAAGTGTGGTAACCAGAATGTAGACGTCTCTAGTCTGCTTACATTTGAATTGTTGGAATCATTTTATGATTCCATTTGCATGCTTCTTAGGTGTTTTACTTTGCCTCTTTCCTCTCCTCAGATCTTGTCCACATCTTAACTTCAACACCTTTTATCATTATAACTAACTTTAAGAGAATATTCAGGGGATCCCTGGGTGGCTCAGCGGTTTAGCGCCTGCCTTTGGCCCAGGGCCCGATCCTGGAGACCTGGGATCAAGTCCCACATCGGGCTCCCTGCATGGAGCCTGCTTCTCCCTCTGCCTGTGTTTCTACCTCTCTCCCTCCCTCCCTCTCTCTCTCTCTCTCTCTCTCTGTCTATCATAAGTAAATAAATCTTTAAAAAAATAAGAGAATATTCATTATAGCAAATATGACAAAGCGGGAAAGTATCAGGCAAAATTATTCCTAGAAAATGAGACTAGCGATCCTAAGAGACTTGATAAGCCATTTTTAGAATCTTCAAGATGGTTAAATATGTACAAACCAGTTATGGTTTTTTTGGTTTGGGGTTTTGTTTTGTTTTTGTTTTTTTTTTGTAATGAGAAGATAGTGTTCACAGAAGCTGCCAAGTCTTACAGTACCAGATAGGCAATAGGTTTCACGCCCTTTCCTTATCTCGGCCATTCTGTCACTGATGTCTATTCCATCAGCTGCCAATTCCTTGTTTCTTTAACCTATGGACTAACCATGGTCTAAGATACAGGGAGTGTAAAGAACAGACATTGTTGTATACCATTTCCTCTGTTTTAACATATTTTCTCAGTAACCGTTCCTACTCCGGACAGTCACCTCTTCAATGGAATCAACCATTTACAGTCACCTCCAAAGCAATTTTAGCTGCTTGATACCACCATATCTTGGGAATATAGAAGGGAGGCAGGGGAGAGACCCTAATTCTAGGGTAACCAGCAAATAGCAATGACTCTCACTTCAAGACACAGTCTGGTCAGAGTCTCCATGTCCTTATGGCTTTCTTTGTATAGAGAATATATCATAAGGTGATGTTTTCCTCTCAGTTTGTACATTAATTATGATCTGTGTGTGGTTCTATGTATGTGGAGACCCTACAGTTTCAATAAGATAGAAGATTCTCATATAAGTCCAATCTGTTATGTTGTCCCTCATCTAGAAAGTCACCTGAGAGCAGGCTGTTTTCCCATTCTGCTATCCCTAGAGTTTTGTCCTGGTCCGATGGCCCAGACTGTTTCACGCTCATGTCCATATGCCAGCTATAAGGAAGAGGGGAAGGGAAGGACACACCCCTTCCCTGTTAGGGAAATTGTGTACATCACTTCCAGTCACATGACACTGGCCAGGTCTTCACCACGTAGCCACACCTAACGTCGAGAGTGCCTGGGAGAGGTAGTCTTTACTCTGGGTCTACATGTATTGAGTTACACTTTACATATTCCTTCCTATAGAATGCTGAGGAAAGATACTATATAAATAGCAATCTCTACTATACCATTGGGTCAGGCTAGATTTTATGACATGGCAGCCAAAATGGTTACCAGGATGTTCAAGACCTGCATCCTACCAGACAGGAAACCCCAGTGAAAAAAGGCAATATATTCTGATGTCTCTGGCAGATAATTCCTGGAGGACCTGGGACTCTAGATAGCCTCTTGTAATAGACAATAACTTGTAAACAGATGAAGTTGGGGGATGGGAATGTTAAGGAAGACCAATAAGGAAATAACCTCAATAAAGGGTTACAATTCCTTCAAAGACAATAAGAGTTCCAATGATGGGAATGTACAGGTTACAGCATGTATTTTGTTTTGACTCGATCCTAGACTATGAGGGGAAGTTTGGAATGGGAACAAGCTGGCCATGTTGGTTAGCATCAGACCTTGGAAACTTTGTATGCTGTGCCAAGGAGTTGACTGTTTTTGTGTACAGGGTGAATTCACTGAGAATTTTTAGGCAGGGACTCAACACAATTGAATTTGTCCTCTTGAGACTTATCTTCGGAATTGACAGCACAAGACTGTAGGGATGAGAACGGTTATAAAGGAATGCTGTTGTAGTCCAAGGAGATGATGCGGTCCTCAGTAGGGGCAGTCGTTGTGGGCTTGACGAGGAAGGAGCAGGCATGAGAGTTGAAGAGATTGAGCTGGATATGATAATTGTATGGGGATGAGGAAGATGTAGGGTATGTGAGAAAGGAAGGACTATAGGCTATTTCCCAAGAATCTTGCTTGGGTGGGGTATTGTGTTAGTGTATAAGCCAAACTTCTGTGCCAAGGGGGCCCTAAGATAAAAGATGGAAGCTTGTTTCTGTACCTGCATTGAGTCCAGAAGTGAGCAATCACATGCTCACAGGGTAGTTCTACCCAGTAAGATTCTTCATGAGCTCAGGCTCCTGTAATCATTCTCCCCCCAGCAACTAGTGAGTCATCCTCATCCTCATAGGCAAAGCACACTCACCAGAATTACATCTGTGTTGCAGCCTGCAGGCAAGGGCAAAAGGAGGAAATACAAAAAATTCATTTTTTAATGGACTTTTACACAATTTTGCCATTTTTCCACTGGGGAGAATTTAATTATATCACCATATCCAGCTGCAAGGTGGCCTTGGAAATGTCACTAGACAGGTAGTTCTGTGCCCAGCTACAGCTCGGTATTCTATTGCTAAATAGACTAATAAACTAATATATCTTAATATAGACATGTCCAGGCTTCCTGTATTCGAATGCAGACAATTCACAACACCATGGAAGCTATATTGCCATGGCGATCATTTCAAATCTCTCTACTCCCCCTTCCACAATAAATTCACACCTAAAAGTTAAATTCCACGTAATTCTAAATAATGATTTTTCCACAAACAAACGTGCCCGAGATGCCTTTAACACACACACACACTCACATGCTTCTCACATCTTTGTCATTCAGTTCCATCTCAGCCCAAGTATTCCTAGAAATTGCAGAAATTAAGCCATCAGGGAGTCAGGGTTCTCTCCCTGAATGCCTCAGCTCTTTCCTACTCCCCTCTTCTCTGGGAACCTACTGCTTAGACTCACTCATCCCAAACCCAAAAAGCTCTCACTATTACTAAAAGAAAAAAAGAGAATGAAGAGGGGCGATAAGCTTACTCTGTCACAGTCAACACGTTTGAGAATCTAGGTGACAGATCAGGTTTGGAGACACTAGTGGATGCATATGGTGTCCCATGTCACACCAACTTCTGATTTCATCTCCAGCTATAGCACACACTCCCAGACCATGATAACAGGCCATTTTACTTAGCTTTCCTCGCTTGGGGCTTTCTCTGAAAGATCATTCTCTTGTGCAATGCTCTCGCAACAGCACAGAAGTTCAAGGGGAAGTTAATGGCCCCGAGGCAGTCCTTAAGCAACGGGAGGATGGGAATTGGTAGATGCTTCACAATCCCAACTTTAAGAAAAAGACAGCTCTGAAATGCATTCTAGATGGATCCTCAGAGGGTCCCTTGCTGGATTGAACCCCAGTCTCCCACCACAGTAGTCAATCCAGTAACACATCTTCCCCATGTCACTTTCAGAGTACGGCCAACCGGGTCACATCACAGAACTGATTTGGCCCTTAGAGGGTCATTAGTAGTATTTTGCAAAGAAGTTTCCACCTGCAGATTTACTTGGGGGCAGAAGCCTAGAAAGAATGAATTAGAATGGGTGAGATGAAGCTTTAATTAGCCACACCCGGATGCGGGTTTAGCTAGCCACTAAAGGGCACAGGCAAGTTCAAGCCTCACAGCTCACCCTGTAACAAGACAACAAAAAAATCCATATTTTTGTAAAAAATTTGCTGCCAAAAATATTCAGCCCTAATGTTAATTAAGCCATTAGAACCAACTTCCAGTTTACAGGAGAGACCTGCCAAAAGGACGAAGTAATACCACTATGAAGAAGCAATCAGGGCACCTGGGTGGCTCAGTCCGTTAAGCATCTGCCTTTGGCTCAGGTCATGATCTCAAGGTTCTGGGATCGAGTCCTGCATCAGGCTCTCTGCTCAGAGGGGAGTCAGCTTCTCCCTCTCCCTATGCCCCTCCCTGTGCTTGTGTTCTCTCTCTCTTCTCTCTCTCAAATAAAATCTTTTAAAAAAGAAGAAGAAGCAATCAGCCAAATCCAGCATGTGGGATATCCAGCAGGACAATTAACAAAATGTCCACAGCAATCTATCTTCCCTCACAAGGTCAGACGTGAGGAAGTGGAAGAGCAGACATGGGCTACTCTTTGGAAGAGAAGAGACAGTACTTTGTGAGGGAGAGAATACCTCAGGTTGTGTTTTTGGTTGCTTTGAGTCTTAAACCCTTTACTAGGCTCAGACAAAAATCCATTGAGAGAAAAAGGAGGAGCCTGGGCTGAGAAGCTCAGGGAAGGGAAGGAGATGGACCAAAGCCCAAGGGTCAGGATCAT